CTCCCTCCTCCCTGTACGCACGCGGACTTTTTATACCCCCCACCCCCACCTGCGTACGTTCGCCTGACCCACACCCCCCCGAATCCTATAGAACGGCCGATATTTATAATGTTAACGTGTTTTAGCAAACAGTCCACCGCCGGACTATCTAACTCATTTGAAGGCCAATGTAGACAAATTATTATCGAGGCTTCACCCACCCCCCCCCCGTTTCCTATACGTACATTGTCAGTAGACCCCCCCATTCGCAAGCTACGCATTTGGGTTAACCCCCCCCCCACGGCCCCCCTCCATGCGCACGGACTCCATGCCCCCCCTTGTTGCACTGAAGGCGTCCGAGTCCGTGCCGCTGCGGGCTTCGGGGCCGTGGGCGCAGTCTGTGCCGGGACTCGTGGATTGGGTGTGCAGGTGTGTGTACCCCCTTCACGGGGTGTGTGTACCCCCTTCACGGGGTGTGTGTACCCCCTTCACGGTGTGTGTGTACCCCCTTCACTGTGTGTGTACCCCCTTCACTGTGTGTGTACCCCCTTCACGGGGTGTGTGTACCCCCTTCACTGTGTGTGTACCCCTTCACTGTGTGTGTGTACCCCCTTCACTGTGTGTGTACCCCCTTCACGGGGTGTGTGTACCCCCTTCACGGGGTGTGTGTACCCCCTTCACTGTGTGTGTACCCCCTTCACTGTGTGTGTACCCCCTTCACTGTGTGTGTACCCCCTTCACTGTGTGTGTACCCCCTTCACTGTGTGTGTGTACCCCCTTCACTGTGTGTGTACCCCCTTCACTGTGTGTGTACACCCTTCACTGTGTGTGTGTACCCCCTTCACTGTGTGTGTGTACCCCCTTCACTGTGTGTGTGTACCCCCTTCACTGTGTGTGTACCCCCTTCACTGTGTGTGTACCCCCTTCACTGTGTGTGTACCCCCTTCACTGTGTGTGTACCCCCTTCACTGAGTGTGTGTACCCCCTTCACTGTGTGTGTGTACCCCCTTCACTGTGTGTGTGTACCCCCTTCACTGTGTGTGTACCCCCTTCACTGTGTGTGTACCCCCTTCACGGGGTGTGTGTACCCCCTTCACTGTGTGTGTACCCCCTTCACTGTGTGTGTACCCCCTTCACTGTGTGTGTACCCCCTTCACTGTGTGTGTACCCCCTTCACTGTGTGTGTACCCCCTTCACTGTGTGTGTACCCCCTTCACTGTGTGTGTACCCCCTTCACGGGGTGTGTGTACCCCCTTTACTGTGTGTGTACCCCCTTCACTGTGTGTGTGTACCCCCTTCACTGTGTGTGTACCCCCTTCACTGTGTGTACCCCCTTCACTGTATGTGTACCCCCTTCACTGTGTGTGTACCCCCTTCACTGTGTGTGTACCCCCTTCACTGTGTGTGTGTACCCCCTTCACTGTGTGTGTACCCCCCTTCACTGTGTGTGTACCCCCTTCACGGGGTGTGTGTACCCTCTTCACTGTGTGTGTACCCCCTTCACTGTGTGTGTGTACCCCCTTCACTGTGTGTGTACCCCCTTCACTGTGTGTGTACCCCCTTCACGGGGTGTGTGTACCCCCTTCACTGTGTGTGTACCCCCTTCACGGGGTGTGTGTACCCCCTTCACTGTATGTGTGTACCCCCTTCACTGTGTGTGTACCCCCTTCACGGGGTGTGTGTACCCCCTTCACGGGGTGTGTGTACCCCCTTCACTGTGTGTGTACCCCCTTCACGGGGTGTGTGTACCCCCTTCACGGGGTGTGTGTACCCCCTTCACTGTGTGTGTACCCCCTTCACTGTGTGTGTACCCCCTTCACTGGGTGTGTGTACCTCCTTCACGGGGTGTGTGTACCCCCTTCACGGGGTGTGTGTACCCCCTTCACTGTGTGTGTACCCCCTTCACTGTGTGTGTACCCCCTTCACGGGGTGTGTGTACCCCCTTCACTGTGTGTGTGTACCCCCTTCACGGGGTGTGTGTACCCCCTTCACGAGGTGTGTGTACCCCCTTCACGGGGTGTGTGTACCCCCTTCACTGTGTGTGTACCCCCTTCACTGTGTGTGTACCCCGTTCACGGGGTGTGTGTACCCCCTTCACGGGGTGTGTGTACCCCCTTCACTGTATGTGTGTACCCCCTTCACGGGGTGTGTGTACCCCCTTCACGGGGTGTGTGTACCCCCTTCACTGTGTGTGTACCCCCTTCACTGTGTGTGTACCCCCTTCACGGGGTGTGTGTACCCCCTTCACTGGGTGTGTGTACCCCCTTCACGGGGTGTGTGTACCCCCTTCACTGTGTGTACCCCCCTCACTGTGTGTGTACCCCCTTCACGGGGTGTGTGTACCCCCTTCACGGGGTGTGTGTGTACCCCCTTCACGGGGTGTGTGTACCCCCTTCACTGTGTGTACCCCCTTCACGGGGTGTGTGTACCCCCTTCACTGGGTGTGTGTACCTCCTTCACGGGGTGTGTGTACCCCCTTCACGAGGTGTGTGTACCCCCTTCACTGTGTGTGTACCCCCTTCACGGGGTGTGTGTACCCCCTTCACTGGGTGTGTGTACCCCCTTCACTGTGTGTGTACCCCCTTCACTGTGTGTGTGTACCCCCTTCACTGTGTGTGTACCCCCTTCACTGTGTGTGTACCCCCTTCACTGTGTGTGTGTACCCCCTTCACTGTGTGTGTGTACCCCCTTCACTGTGTGTGTGTACCCCCTTCACTGTGTGTGTACCCCCTTCACTGTGTGTGTACCCCCTTCACTGTGTGTGTACCCCCTTCACTGTGTGTGTACCCCCTTCACTGAGTGTGTGTACCCCCTTCACTGTGTGTGTGTACCCCCTTCACTGTGTGTGTGTACCCCCTTCACTGTGTGTGTACCCCCTTCACTGTGTGTGTACCCCCTTCACGGGGTGTGTGTACCCCCTTCACTGTGTGTGTACCCCCTTCACTGTGTGTGTACCCCCTTCACTGTGTGTGTACCCCCTTCACTGTGTGTGTGTACCCCCTTCACTGTGTGTGTACCCCCTTCACTGTGTGTGTACCCCCTTCACTGTGTGTGTACCCCCTTCACGGGGTGTGTGTACCCCCTTTACTGTGTGTGTACCCCCTTCACTGTGTGTGTGTACCCCCTTCACTGTGTGTGTACCCCCTTCACTGTGTGTACCCCCTTCACTGTATGTGTACCCCCTTCACGGGGTGTGTGTACCCCCTTCACTGTGTGTGTACCCCCTTCACTGTGTGTGTACCCCCTTCACTGTGTGTGTACCCCCTTCACTGTGTGTGTGTACCCCCTTCACTGTGTGTGTGTACCCCCTTCACTGTGTGTGTACCCCCTTCACTGTGTGTGTACCCCCTTCACGGGGTGTGTGTACCCTCTTCACTGTGTGTGTACCCCCTTCACTGTGTGTGTGTACCCCCTTCACTGTGTGTGTACCCCCTTCACTGTGTGTGTACCCCCTTCACGGGGTGTGTGTACCCCCTTCACTGTGTGTGTACCCCCTTCACGGGGTGTGTGTACCCCCTTCACTGTATGTGTGTACCCCCTTCACTGTGTGTGTACCCCCTTCACGGGGTGTGTGTACCCCCTTCACTGTGTGTGTACCCCCTTCACGGGGTGTGTGTACCCCCTTCACTGTGTGTGTACCCCCTTCACTGTGTGTGTACCCCCTTCACTGGGTGTGTGTACCTCCTTCACGGGGTGTGTGTACCCCCTTCACGGGGTGTGTGTACCCCCTTCACTGTGTGTGTACCCCCTTCACTGTGTGTGTACCCCCTTCACGGGGTGTGTGTACCCCCTTCACTGTGTGTGTGTACCCCCTTCACGGGGTGTGTGTACCCCCTTCACGAGGTGTGTGTACCCCCTTCACGGGGTGTGTGTACCCCCTTCACTGTGTGTGTACCCCCTTCACTGTGTGTGTACCCCGTTCACGGGGTGTGTGTACCCCCTTCACGGGGTGTGTGTACCCCCTTCACTGTATGTGTGTACCCCCTTCACGGGGTGTGTGTACCCCCTTCACGGGGTGTGTGTACCCCCTTCACTGTGTGTGTACCCCCTTCACTGTGTGTGTACCCCCTTCACGGGGTGTGTGTACCCCCTTCACTGGGTGTGTGTACCCCCTTCACGGGGTGTGTGTACCCCCTTCACTGTGTGTACCCCCCTCACTGTGTGTGTACCCCCTTCACGGGGTGTGTGTACCCCCTTCACGGGGTGTGTGTGTACCCCCTTCACGGGGTGTGTGTACCCCCTTCACTGTGTGTACCCCCTTCACGGGGTGTGTGTACCCCCTTCACTGGGTGTGTGTACCTCCTTCACGGGGTGTGTGTACCCCCTTCACGAGGTGTGTGTACCCCCTTCACTGTGTGTGTACCCCCTTCACGGGGTGTGTGTACCCCCTTCACTGGGTGTGTGTACCCCCTTCACTGTGTGTGTACCCCCTTGACTGTGTGTGTGTGTACCCCCTTCACGGGGTGTGTGTACCCCCTTCACTGGGTGTGTGTACCCCATTCACGGGATGTGTGTACCTCCTTCATGGGGTCTGTATCCCCTTGACGGAGTGTGTACCCCCTTCACTGGGTGTGTGTACCCCATTCACGGGGTGTGTGTACCCCCTTAACGGGGTCTGTGTATCCCCTTGACGGAGTGTGTGTACCCCCTTCACGGGGTGTGTGTACTCCCTTCACTGAGTGTGTGTACCCCCTTCACGGGGTGTGTGTACCCCCTTCACTGGGGGTGTGTACCCCCTTCACTGGGTGTGTGTACCCCCTTCACTGTGTGTGTACCCCCTTCACGGGGTGTGTGTACCCCCTTCACGGGGTGTGTGTACCCCCTTCACTGAGTGTGTGTACCCCCTTCACTGAGTGTGTGTACCCTCTTGACAGGGAGTGTGTACCCCCTTCACTGAGTGTGTGTACTCCCTTCACGGGGTGTGTGTCCCTTTTGCGGGGTGTTTACAGCCTTAGCGTGCAGGTAAGGGTACCCCCCCTCGGCAGGGTGTGCACCCTTCTCCATGTCGGGGTGTGTCTCCGCTGAGGCGGGTGGGTGTAACAGGCGGGCGCGCCTCTCACATAAACGCGAGGACGCCTCCCTCAATCTTCACTCGGCTCACTCACCTCCCTCCACTCCACTGCAAGGTAAGAAGAGCGCCAGGGTCTCACCGCCCGACTCTTATTATTATATAAATAAATATCTCCTTTCCCGTCAAACCATCATATATCATTTTTTTCTGGGACGGGAATCTTGGCGCTGTCGAATTTCGCGTCTCCCGTCACCGGCAAGCGGTCTCCGTGTAAACGAACAGACGGAGAGACGAATGCATCTTCACGTCGAATTGTGTTTAGGGGTTGCTTTGTTGAAATTGCCACCCAAATGCGTTTTTATCCAAGGCGTCCGGACGCCTGTGTGGAGGATAAGAGGCATCGCGAGGCGGTGATGAGACGAGGGCTGGGACTGTGCCTCTTGATTTGAGATTTAAGTTTTGTTTTAAATGTGGGCGCACGTACGGTCTTTGATGTGTTCACGCGCACTACAGAGCGTGTCTATGTGTGTCGCATTCAATGCGAGGAGCGGTGGCGCAGCGATTAGCGCGCTGCGCTACGAGTTAGATTCTCGCTCACGGCCAACACCGGTGACGATTATCTGAACAGATATTGGGCCTCCTCTAGGTCGACTCAGCCTCAAATGCGTACCTGGTGCGCCGCAAGGGAGACAAAGGCGGTCGAACGTGGTGCTGGCCACCCACTCCCTCGTGTGCCGTTCTTCATAGTTGCTCGCGAACAGCGCATGTCCCAAAAGTCTGTTAAAGGCTACACGGGGGATCTTTGTGTGCCACCTATAGGGTGTTAAGCGTTCGATCTTAATACGTGGGTGTAGTTTTGGATTGTGCGTGTGTGTGACGTGGTGTGGTGTGTATTGTGGGGATGTAATTACGTGTCAACAGTATTGTGTTGTTGTATGGGCGCGGTGTTGTGTATTGTTGTGTGCCCCTACAGTCTGTGAACGCTCTACGGGGGGATCTTTATCTTGTTTTGTTGTGTTTGTGTGTGTGGGCTTATGACTAAATCACTCGGAATGCGCCAAATCTCACCCAGATCTTGTAAGCTGAGCAGGCTATGAGCCTGGAAGGTGCTTGGATGGGCGAGCATCGGTCCCTGTCAGCTTGTCTTGGGCGGAGTGAGCTACATGGCACGGGCAGGAGACGGCAGTGCAGCCAAATCCAGTGTTGGACTGCACTTCTATGCTCCCACGCCTACGCTCCTCACCTTCGTGGACAAATAATGGCCACTAAACCGCACGGTGTTGGGGGGGGGGGGCGGGGGGCGGGGGGGGAGGCCTTCATCCAGCAGTGGATGGACCAAACGTACACGTCTATGCGATGTTGTGTGTTGTGTTCTGCGTGATGTTAGCCATGGGCCTGGCAGGGCTTACAGCGCAAGTTTGCCGACCACTCCGTCGCCCGCCCTCCCGCACCCTGCAGGTGCTCGCTAACACGTGGCAACGTCTCTGTGTTTGTCCAGATGGCTTTCTACGGCTCAAGCTCAAAGCCCCGACCCCGGTCTGCGTACGGTGAAAATGGTGAGAATTTTGGTCACGAAAAAAAATCTTCAAAAGCACGGGTGCGGAACTTACGGCCCCCGTGAGCAGTGTGTCATTTCTATAGCTGTCAACCCCTTATCAGTGCCCTACGTTATTACAAACCAATTCAGACATTATTTGTCACCCCGTGCCCTTATAAATCTCAACGTTCATCCTACAAAGTCCCATCACAAGGGTGAACACACAAACAAATAGACAAATACATTCAAACGTTTTTGCCCGTACTGAAACGGATGTACGCCGTATGGACCTGAAAATTCAATGATCCCTGTACAAGAATATGGGTGGGTAAATCGTACGGGTTGACAGCTGTGCATTTCCCGCGGCTTAAGTTCACGGGGCTTCACTTCACACGGCCGCCAGTGAATTTTATTTCACACATCCCGAGAAATGAATCACCAACGACCCGACACTTCCGCTGTAACGACACCGAGATTTCACTTCACGCGACTCGCAGCTTCATTCCACACGGGCTGCCGCTTGTGGTCTCGTGGCCATGAGAAAACGATGTTTATCCGTCAGTGAAAGCATCTCAGCCCCCACCACCTTGGCCGCACTAATTGGGTACTGGGCAATGCTGCGTTTCCCATCCTAGCGCTCGGTGAATTTCTCACTGCTAGGGCCCCTTTTGCAATGACAGCGGTGACCGATCTGTGCGCGTGTCCACGTGTGGACGGCCACCAGCAGTACTCACGGGTCCGCCGCCCTCGGGTTAGAAGGCAGACGAAGCCCGGTCCCTCCCCCAGCCCGCGTCTGCTGTGGGGGGCTACGTTTGACCATACTTCACCACGACATACCTCACCATGCCAGTCAGTGCGTGTTGGTGAAGGCGGGGTGAATAGATAGACGCAGGAGCAACCGAGTCCAGTATCAGGACAGCAGTGCATTGCGCTGCACTGTGCTCTGGTGCCCACTTCTCAGCCCCCGCGACCTATAACCCCTACGGTGCATGGTGGTTGCTCATCCAAGCACTAATCCAGGGTCATCCTTGCTTAACTTTCCGAGGTCTAACGAGGTCGGACGAGTTCAGGGTGATTAGGTCGTAGATTTTTTTTTTGTCTTGGGGTCGTGCTATGGTCATTGTTTCAGGCTGCACAACAATTGGGGGGAGTGGGGGGGGTGGAGGCAGCTGTGTGGAATGTTGCATCATGGGACAATGAATGATGGCCATTTCTTGGGGAGGTCTTCATCCAGCAAGTGGATTGTTCATGGCCAGCGATGATGATGATGATAAAGATGGTAGTGACGTACATTATAAAGGGGGTTTCTTTTTTTCCCCATGTGTTCGTGAGCAGGGAGCCCACAAACGGAGAGGGAACGGTCCGACGCCATCCAGGGCACAAAGTTCCGCACCTCGGTGAAGGATGATACAAGCTGGATCAACCGTGCCGGTGGACTCAACGAGGGCGAGGGGTAGGCTCCGATACAAAAAAACACAAAGATCTCCTGTATAGCCTTTAGCATACTGTTGGGGCAAGCGCTATTCGTGAGGAGCACCTATGAAGCCCGGTGAGGCACACGAGGGGAGTGGGTGGCCAGCACCTCGCCCAGCCGCTTTTGTCTCCCCGGTGGGAATGTTTTTACACACCGCACCGGGTACTCATTTGAGGCCGAGTTGACCTAGGGGAGGCCCAGGACCGGTTCAGATAACCATCACTGCTGTTGGCCGTGAGCGGGTATGGAACTCGAGTTGCCGGGTTTGTAGCGCAGCGCGCTATCCGTTGCACTATCGCTTCCCACTACATACACACGCACATCTCCCGACACAGTGCAAATACCACACACACACAGCAACAACTACATCAGCTGACCGTGACATCACCACAGCGCTAGTGCCAAGAAAGATCCACTTTGAGGCCACAGAGACTCCCAAAGAGACCCACTGAGTACTGTCACTGGACTGTGCTAGCAGTGGCTTCATAATCAGCCCTTTGTTCAGCTCCCACAGCTCCCATTGAGAATCGGTCTGGTGGAGCCCTGCACTAGTGCAGCAGCATTATTATCACCCCCTCTAGGCAGGATGTGTGCCCCGCTCCCTGTCGGGGTGCATGCGTGCAGATAGGGGTACATCCCCTTGGCAGGGTGTGTGCAGGTAGTGGTGTGATGTTAACTACCTCGCCTGGTATGCAGGATGTCGTGGGTTTGATCCCGACCCTGACGCCTGTGTATTTGGAATTTGCATGTCTCTCTCCCTATGGTGGTGTGAATTTTTTTCTCTAGGACCTTTGGTTTTTGCCTCAATATTTAGAAATGATAAGCCACTTCGTTGAGCTATAATTTGTGGCCAAATCGAACTTGGGCCTTACCTGGTAAGCTAAAAAAAAATAGATCCATAGACTCCCATAGACCCATATTGAGACCCAGACTCATAGAGAGACACAAAGACTCGTAAACAGAGCTCAGCACCAGTTCATCATCATCAGCACCTGTTAACAATTAGTCCATCTGCACGCGTCACCGCCTGAGACTGGGGAAAACCCGAGGTGGACTTTATCGCCCCTTCAACCTAGAGCCAGGAGCCTCCACTGAAGTTCAACCGTGGCCTCAGGAAGTCACGTGTCCCCGTCCCAGCTTCTTCTTCTGTCGTACGGCTGATGTAGACGCAGAGCAATTTCACATTCAGGTGGTCAAGCCAGACAACCGCGTCAGGAGCAGCGGAGTTGGTGTGTCGCTGTGATGTCTCCTTCGTATTTGTGGGGCATTGCACTGTTGAATGTTGTTGTATGGTCTGTACTGCACACTGGAGAGTTTTAGATCTTTCAGGTATCCACATTTGCCATGGTTCGTGCAGTGGATGCGGTTTAAGGCGGACCATGAGCCAAACCGTCACCGTTAAACCTCTCTGATGCGTCGTTCGGTTCGTACCGCGCGTTGTTCGGCACGACGTCCGACGTTTCGCTCCGCGTGCCCAGGAGCTCCTTCACAAAAAAAAAACCGAAGGGATCTGACGAAGCTCACAGCGCGCGGCACGAACCCGAAAACACAGAGGAGATCTCGGCAGCACGAACCGCGAATACCTGCCCAGTAGCATAACTACACCCGTGGTCACAGCCCCGGGTATTAACACTCTAAACACTGCCACCGCCCTCACCTGCACGACAGGCGCTCCAGGGAGGCAGGTAGGGAGGGGAAGGAGAGGTACGCGTGAAAGAATGTGGAATGCATCGTCGGGCGATGACAAATATAATGATTTCGTCTTTTTGTTTGTGCCTCCGCCTGTCTCCACACCCAAACCTACTCCCCCCCCCCAAAAAAAAACAATCTCTCCCTCTCTCCCTCCTACCCCGCATTCACCACCCCCTCTCTCCACGGCCAGCGAAGAGCCGGGGCTGATAGACTTCGGCGACAAACATCCGACCTCGCCGCTCTCCCCGACGCACAGAGGCACCAGGTGAGCCGCTCCACGGGCGTGTGTAGCGTGTAACCAGCGGCGTAAGCTGTAAGCTGCCGGGGCGTGCAGGCGGTGCAACTGCGCCGGGGGGAGGGGGGGGGGGTGGAGGGGGGCCTCACGGCAAGAGTTCATACCCTCCGAGTTACAACCAAAAAAACGGGCACGCATCATGGGAAGAGGAATAAGAAGTTGGAGGAGGATATCTGACAATGCGTGGAAAGCGGAGAACTCAAGGGCAGGTGGCAACGCTAGCCCATGGGCTGCAGAGGGTCCCATGTGCTAGGTTACAAAGAGTGGGGGGGGGCGGGGTTGGCATAACACTCCTTGTACGAGGATCCATGCCAACTGTGCCACACCAATGATTCCGCCCTATTCAGCGGTTATCACGCCTGCCAACCCTGTCAGTGTCGAGGAATTGTGAGCGAGCGCCTATTTAAGTCATTTTGGCCAAGTGCGGGTTTTCTCCAGGCTCTCCGGTTCCTCCCGCGCGAAGCCGAACACTCGCTCGCGGAATTGGCCAAGCAGCCCAATGCAGGACCCTCCTGAAAAACGAGCCTTGAGACTGGGTGAGGCGTTCCTGGTTAAATAATTGGCATTATTACGATGATTAAACCGAGGTAGACTGTTGGGGCAAGCATTGTTACGAGCGCCCATTAGTAAGTTGACGGTCTGGTCGCCACTCATTCACATAGAGACCCATAGACTTAGCTAGGGTGAGTTACGATTAAACGGGGCTCTAAAGTTTAGCGAGTTGATGGTCTTAGCCTGGTCAACAATGACTCGCATACAGACCCATAGACTTAAATGGAGCCCGGTCACCAATGGCTGCACGAACAACAACAACAAAAATGACATTTGGTGCCACGTCACCACGCGTACCTCGCTCTCCCCCTATCTCTGACCTTGCCCCCTGAGCCTAACCCTGCCCCTGGCCCTCGCCCGTGCAGGTGAGCGAGCTGGCTCATTCACAGCCACGAGTTGTCTGTGCTCGATATTTGTTTACCTGCCGAGAAGGCAGTGAATTCCTCTCATTCCTGTCAAGGACGGGCGCGGCCCAATTCATCAATTCGAAGCCGCCCACACCCAGCGCGCTCCCGTGCCCCCGAGAGACGTCACGGATCCTCCGTGACGTCGCTCGACATGAATCACGGACCAAGACAAAAATCCCCCCCTCCCTCCCTCCCCCGTGTAGCCTTGACAAGACTGTTGTCTCGGGTGTGGAAAGCTGTCTCGGGTGTGGACCAATCAATTTCAAGGACAGTGCGTACATTATGAGAGTTGTTTTCTGTTTGCGTTCCGACCGCAGGTATTGTGGTCAATGTAAACATGACTCCTTGTAAAAAAAAGGTGTCAGTTTTGTTGCCAGATAAAAGGGTAAAAAAACCAATTATCAAGACTGTTGTGGACGAGTGCTGGTAGCGAATAGCCCCTACGAAGTTGAGAACGGAGGCGGGTGGGGGGTGGTCCCCCTTCTCTGACGCCGCCCGCCGTGCCCCTCTCGACTACCCCCCTCCCCACCCAGCCGCTCGTCGAGCCAACAGCAGGAGTGGGATGAGTTGGAGTCTCACGCCGCGCCAACAAAGGGAGCCAGGGACTCGTCCGGCGGCGGATTGCGGTCGTCGACGCAGAAGTGGTACGTGTCACGTGGTCCCTGTCAGGGATTCGCTCAGCCGACGACGCTCTTGGGAGGGCCAACCTAGAACTCAGATTTTCGCCTTAAATGCATTCAGCTGAGGGATTTTTGTTTCCTTCTTCAAGTTACGGGCCCCGGTGTTTGATAATTGTGCCCTGGTCATGTCACTACAATCGATTTTTTTGGTATATTCCTATTGTTACATTTGTCTATCAGGGAAAACCTCGCTGAGTCTCAAAACTTTTTCAGGAGGGTCCTGCCAGGTTTTTTTCAGTTGGTGGAGGGGGGGGGGGGGGGCATCGATTGCTTGCTGTATAATCCCAATTGAGTAATTTGTTGAGACGAGTGGTGCACAAGAGGTCGATGGCTCCCGCAACGGGGCTTCGGGACCTTGGGTCGTGTGGTGATTACTGAAGGACGATGGGCCTCGAAGTTGCCAATGACTCCTTCCCCTTCTACCGGGGAAAGAGCAGCTTGCGCCTGGTGCATTGATCTGGGGCATTGATTGGTGCATTGATCTGGTGCATTGATTGGTGCATTGATCTGGTGCATTGATTGGTGCATTACTTGGTGCATTGATCTGGTGCAATGCTTGTACTTGGTGCATTGCTTTGGCCACCAACCACCACTGCAGCCATGAGAGGTGGCGTCAAAGGCATTGGCCATGGTGACGCCTTCATCTTGCCGTCGGTAAACAAACATTGCCAAGCTACAGCGTGTGCACAATTCTTCGTCAGTGATGCTGAGCTTCAGTGGCTTTCGGTTGCTGAACGAATACATTATAATGTGGCACTCATTACAAACAAAGTGCTTGCCGCAAATGAACGACAATACCTTGCTTATCTCATCAAGAAGAATAAACCATCACACAAACTCCGGTCGTGCTCGCGGCAGCGGCTTTTGTCTGGCCATCGGACAAAGACGGTCACCGCAACGCGCACATTCAGATGCGCTTCTGCGGCCGTCTGGAACGCTCTTCCTTCCGAGATTAGGAAGTCACTGGAGCTACGCACTTTTAAATCGTCTAGATTGAAAACTCGTTTATTTAGAATAGATTTCTATGCTTAGTTTGTTGTCCTTCCCCCGCACTTACGATGAACATTGTTGGCTATGTACGGTGCGAAAGAAGTTCAACATACAGTACACACAAACTGACACCATCAGTGATGGCAGCTGGGGGGGGGGGCGGTAGGGGGTTAGGGAGCTGTTGATCCCCCCCCCCCCAGCCCTCGTCACTTTGTTAGAATGTCACCAAGCGACTAACTTTGCCTGGGGCCCTCGAGAACGTAACTCCAAGTTGGCCACCCGGCCCAGCCCTCCCTCCCACGCTGTGGCCCTCCCCAGCCGCGCTCGCGGGAGAGGTGGCCAACAGTAATGTGAGTTTAACACGTAGAATGATAATGTGGTAAGCGTGTTGAACTTCTTTCGCACCGTACGTAGCCAGGGGGGAATTGCCAACAAGCGAACACGCACAAAACGCAGCACTAAAGCAATGCGTTTTCAATTCAGACCGCAAAAGGTGCGTAGCTCCAGTGGCTCGCTTAGCTAATATCGCGGGGAAGAGCGTTCCAGACGGCCGCAGAAGCGCGTGTGATTGCGCGCGTTGCGGTGACCGCCGTCTTTGTTCAATGGGTGGCCAAAGGCAGGAGGAGTCCGCACGGCGGTCTACGCTCCCTTGACGAGATCGGCGAGGTTACTGCGGTTCGTGTCGTTGCAAGCACTTTTGTGTGTGGGCGTGTATAATGAGTGCGAGCCATTGGAGGCACGGATGAACCACGGCCTCCCGCTTTACACAAGCTGCCTCGCGTGTGGAGCAGGGTGGGGTGTTTGTCTCACGCATTCACACGGAAATGAACCGAGCACGATGTTTACATGACAGTGCCCCGCATGCTTCTGCCACAGCGGATCGAGTTCGCACGAGGGTTTAAATGGGATGCGCGGTGAACGAGCGGTCGCGTGATTCTCGGTGCTCGAACATGACTTTGATTCCCGTTTGATTCCCGTTTGATTCTCACGGCGAACATCGGTGGCGAGGGATATTTGAAACGGTCTTGGTACCACCACCACCCCACCCCCCCCCCCCCCCCCAAACTGACCCCGACAACCGAGGCGATGTGGGGCAGGCCTTCATCCAGCAGTGGATTCACAAAGGAGGAATGAGAATCACTATTATTAATTACCTGTACAGTGTAGTGAATGTATAATTGATGATGACGGCTGTGTTACGTTGCTGCAGGTGTGACCGCTGCTGTCCGAAGCCGATCATTTATATTTCACGAGCTGACAAGCGATAGCTGGAGAGAGAGATATATGGACAGAAATTACACGGGGAGATTGAGAGACGGGATAAGAAAAAGACAACGAGACCAGAGTGGCACAGAGGGAAACACAAAGAGACGGGTTCGTAGCGGTGGCGTGGCCACGGCGCTTGTGCCAGGCTAGGTGCACCACAGATCCTTGAAAGAGAGACACACAGAGGCAGAGGGACACACAGAAGGCGGCACAGAGACGGACACAGAGAGCGTCCTGCATGTTCAAGGCAATTCAAACTTGATGTCAAACGCACGGCACAATGCACTGGACAATGTAAACAGGGACGGAGGGGGTACTTTTTGCTCGGAACACGGGGAGTCAAATGCAGCTGGGAGCGTGTACCCCGCGCTGCACGCTGCAAAGGAAGAACACTCAAGAACAGCCTGTGAAGCGGTGAGCTCATTGCTCGTACTCAGGGCCGGATTAAGGCATGGGCCTTTAGGGGCTGCAGCCAATGGGGCCTCCGCCAGGTGGAGGGCCTTCAGAGATGAAGTGAAAAGTTATTTCATTTGTGAGCAGACAGTCAAAAGCCATTTGCTGTACACCAAATGAGGCCGACATTTCAAACCCATGATTTTATTTTGACTGTGTAGGCTATCGTTGTCAACCGACTGCTGCATTCAGGCCTACCCTAAGCCATATCGGTCATGGGGGTTGTTTGACCATACTTCACCTTTCTTGTCACTGGTTTATAAATGACTTGCAATGCTGGGAATCAAAACATTAAGTAACAAAGCAACATGTACGTCGTACATGTTGCTTCGTTGTGTACGGCAATTCTAATGCGCATGGCTGCGCTGTTATCATATTGCGGGGGAGTGGGGGGGGGGGTTGATGTATCCTGCAAAAAACTTCATAAATCATCTGCACAGCGATTATACTTAGTTTTTAATACTTTCAAAAATATATATTTTCAAATATTGTTGCTGCTGTTGACATTGTTGTTGTTAATTCGCACAAGCTGAGAGACAGCGACACGGGAACAAATCATCTCACTGCCACGTTACCTCGTGTATGCCATGGATCAATAAAGCTGACTTCACTTGAGAAGCTCCGTACTGCCTGGAGTCGCTTAATCGTTGACTGAGCCTTGCGGTGTTCCTCCCCCGGCAGGGACAGCGCGGGACCCGAGGGATCTTCGTCTTTCTCCCGCGTGGAGATCACCGAGACGGAGACGCGGCGAGGCGGCCGGTGATTTTCGCGTTGCACCTCGCTCACTCACTCGGACTCTCACTCACTCACTCGGTCTCTCACTCACTCACTCGGTCTCTCACTCACTCACTCGGTCTCTCACTCACTCACTCGGTCTCTCACTCACTCGGTCTCTCACTCACTCACTCGGACTCTCACTCACTCGGACTCTCACTCACTCACTCGGACTCACACTCACTCACTCGGTCTCTCACTCACTCACTCGGACTCTCACTCACTCACTCGGTCTCTCACTCACTCACTCGGTCTCTCACTCACTCACTCGGACTCTCACTCACTCGGACTCTCACTCACTCACTCGGTCTCTCACTCACTCACTCGGTCTCTCACTCACTCACTCGGTCTCTCACTCACTCACTCGGACTCTCACTCACTCACTCGGACTCACACTCACTCACTCGGTCTCTCACTCACTCGGTCTCTCACTCACTCACTCGGTCTCTCACTCACTCACTCGGTCTCTCACTCACTCACTCGGACTCACACTCACTCACTCGGACTCTCACTCACTCGGACTCTCACTCACTCACTCGGTCTCTCACTCACTCACTCGGTCTCTCACTCACTCACTCGGTCTCTCACTCACTCACTCGGACTCACACTCACTCACTCGGACTCTCACTCACTCGGACTCTCACTCACTCACTCGGACTCACACTCACTCACTCGGTCTCTCACTCACTCACTCGGTTTCTCACTCACTCACTCGGTCTCTCACTCACTCACTCGGACTCTCACTCACTCACTCGGACTCTCACTCACTCACTCGGTCTCTCACTCACTCACTCGGTCTCTCACTCACTCACTCGGTCTCTCACTCACTCACTCACTCGGACTCTCACTCACTCACTCGGTCTCTCACTCACTCACTCGGTCTCTCACTCACTCACTCGGTCTCTCACTCACTCACTCGGACTCACACTCACTCACTCGGACTCTCACTCACTCACTCGGACTCTCACTCACTCACTCGGTCTCTCACTCACTCACTCGGTCTCTCACTCACTCACTCGGTCTCTCACTCACTCACTCGGACTCTCACTCACTCGGACTCTCACTCACTCACTCGGTCTCTCACTCACTCACTCGGTCTCTCACTCACTCACTCGGTCTCTCACTCACTCACTCGGACTCTCACTCACTCACTCGGACTCACACTCACTCACTCGGTCTCTCACTCACTCGGTCTCTCACTCACTCACTCGGTCTCTCACTCACTCACTCGGTCTCTCACTCACTCACTCGGACTCACACTCACTCACTCGGACTCTCACTCACTCGGACTCTCACTCACTCACTCGGTCTCTCACTCACTCACTCGGTCTCTCACTCACTCACTCGGTCTCTCACTCACTCACTCGGACTCACACTCACTCACTCGGACTCTCACTCACTCGGACTCTCACTCACTCACTCGGACTCACACTCACTCACTCGGTCTCTCACTCACTCACTCGGTTTCTCACTCACTCACTCGGTCTCTCACTCACTCACTCGGACTCTCACTCACTCACTCGGACTCTCACTCACTCACTCGGTCTCTCACTCACTCACTCGGTCTCTCACTCACTCACTCGGTCTCTCACTCACTCACTCACTCGGACTCTCACTCACTCACTCGGTCTCTCACTCACTCACTCGGTCTCTCACTCACTCACTCGGTCTCTCACTCACTCACTCGGACTCACACTCACTCACTCGGACTCTCACTCACTCGGTCTCTCACTCACTCACTCGGTCTCTCACTCACTCACTCGGTCTCTCACTCACTCACTCGGACTCACACTCACTCACTCGGACTCTCACTCACTCGGACTCTCACTCACTCACTCGGACTCTCACTCACTCACTCGGTCTCTCACTCACTCACTCGGACTCTCACTCACTCGGACTCTCACTCACTCACTCGGACTCACACTCACTCACTCGGTCTCTCACTCACTCGGTCTCTCACTCACTCACTCGGTTTCTCACTCACTCACTCGGTCTCTCACTCACTCACTCACTCGGACTCTCACTCACTCACTCGGACTCTCACTCACTCACTCGGTCTCTCACTCACTCACTCGGTCTCTCACTCACTCACTCGGACACTCACTCACTCGGACTCTCACTCACTCCAGCAGTCGTTTGGAATGGGTGTAAAATGTTGCTTGGACAGCCCCTTTGGAATGGTAACTGTGTGTTTTACTGTTGTGCTGAAAGGCACCTGTAATCGGATTACATGTTACTGGTGTGTAGAAATCCATTTGTAGTTAGATTACATGTTACAATTGTGCTGAAAGGGACCTGTACTCTGATTACATGTTAATGGTGTGAAGAAATCCATTTGCAATCTGATTACATGTTAAGACCCTATAGATAGCCTTTTTTAATTGCTAATGTGGGAATAAATTTAGCTCCTTGTAATGTGATCACAGGCATAGGTGGTTAATTTATACACTATAATTGAAGGTCGATATAGATGGGCCTTTGCAGTATTATAGCTGTGTAGTTTCCACGCCTTCTGGGAAATACAGCGAGGGCTCAGAGAACGCGGACACCGCTTACACGCGACCGACCGACCGACCCCGATTCATCCCGGCACTTGGTGACTCAGCCCGCCCGCACGCCCTCCCTGCCATTACGCGAACGATAGATGTAACGACTTTGTAACTCTATCGCCCGTGCAAGGAACGAGTTAAAAAAAACGATCGTGTTCCAATACTGTATATTGTTCATAATAATGTAGTGGTATTAATATATTTTTATATATATAATGTAGTGTTAATAATGTAGTGTTAATAATATAGGTTTAATAATATAGTGTTCTAATAGTGTTAATGATATCGTGCTCTATCTGACCTGGATCCGACCGATGATTAGCGAATCATTTAATCTGTAGCACTGTACTACTTCAGCCCACCGGTGTGTTGGAGAGTAAATCCACAACATTTACAATCTGAGTAGTACGACGTTTCGCTGGTAATTACATCAACCAGCATCATCGGACGATTTGCCAGAATATATATAGTGTTAACAATGATGCTGGATGTAATTACCAGCAAAACGTCCTACTCAAATTGTAAATGTTGTGGATTTACTCTCCAACACACCGGTGTGCTGAAGTAGTAACTAACTGGCGTTTTGTTTACGTGACAAATCCCTTGCTAATTGGCTGCGTCGGGTGGTGGAGGGTTACGACACATTTAGACTTGCGCGATCTAACCCAAAAACCTCTATTATGAGTAGTAGTGAATGTTGTTGTTGGGTTGTGCTTGTGCACCACTGCCAGAGCAGCAGCAGCATCACCAAACAACGTGTTTACAGCTTATGAAAAAAAATCGTGTCATTGTTAGATTCTAACAATGTAATGGAATTACATTGTTAGAATCTAACTCTAAGTAATCCGATTACATGCGCGGCTAGCCTAACCTTACGCGCGTGTGCGCTTTACCTGGTAAAATAAACATGCTTCAGTATTTTGGTGATTTGCTTACATTTTCGATCATTTGCACTCCTATCTTGATTTTGTTTTATTTGTTATGGTAACTTTATGACCCGCCCCTCCTGGACATGTGTGCAAAGAAAAGAGCTTTACAGCTCATCGGATTCCTCCTCCAATATAGAGATTCTGATTCTAATGATTGTGTGTGTGTGTTACATTCAGCAGTGAGCCGTCTGGACCCCCGCCACCTGTCCCTCGCAGCCGCTACTCCGGCAGGTGCGAACCGGGGTTCCCAGGCTTCAGGGGTCAGCGGCGTAGCTATCCAGTGGCGCGGGCGGTGACACTGCAAACAACGGGGCCCGGGTTGCGAGCAGAGCCGTGGAAGATGCAACTACGGGAGATTCACTACTGAGAGATTTCGCTGCTTCAATTGCTTTCAGAGTCGCTGAATTTCAGATGCATGTTTGAGGCAGTGCAAAGTGTGTCCGATTTACACCCGACGGATAGGGTCGACGTTGCATAGAGGGGAGAGGCCAATTTTTCACTCCTTGCACCCAGGACCCACGTCACGCAGTTGGAGTGAGGGCTGGGAGTGGCTGCGTGGGCGATCACGCTGATCCACAGTTGTGTTCGGGTTGGGCCACGTGGTGGAAGTTTTACGTCAAATTACTTGTTATTAACCCCACCGCAAGCCGACAAGATTGCCACGTTGACGACAAATAAAGCTTCGCCCCAGTGGCTCAAGTATTTTCAGAACTGACGATATTACTGTTGCTGCCGATGATTCTAATGATTGATTGTTTTTGTCGTTGGGATGTTTGTCTTTTAGCGGAGGTCAGAGCGGAGGTCAGAGCGGAGGTCAGAGCGGAGGTCAGAGCGGAGGTCAGAGCGGAGGTCAGAGCGACGTCAGCAATTCAAAGGATACGTCTGTCACCCGCACTCGCTTCAGCAGGTACACACAACTCACGTGTGTGTGTGTATGCAGGTCACCAATGTGTATACATACAACTCCACTTCATGTACACGCATCGCCTATACGTACGCACAACCCACTTGTACACGACTCACCTTTGTGTGTGTGTAAATGGGTCACCTGTGTAATACACGTGACATACAACACCTGGCTCATGCTAAAACATAATCAATCAGACCTCTGTCTTTCCACATTAAAAAAATTAGATAGCCCCATCATCTTCCGTACTAAAAATCATCAATTTGCTTTTTTTGTTTATGCAGCTGAACTCTGGACCGGCTTTGACATTTTAGTAACTCGTCAGCAGCGTAAGGCTTTGTACAACTCAAATACTGCTGCGTTATCAGACTCCATTGGCAATAGCACGACCCTAAAGCTTGTATGGTTTTGTTTTTTTGCCGAACCCTCTTATCGCTTTACATTTTTTTTATTTACCCCGGGCGTCGTGCACACGCACACACGCACGCACATACACACGCACACACACACACGCGCACACACACAAGGGGACTTTGTGATTCACACACAACTGGGTGCGGCGTTGCTGATGTGGCTGGCGCGCGTTCCGTGGTCGGGGCGGGTCTCTCGTATTTTCTTTCAAGTTTTCACGCGAGGAGACCGTCTTGTTCTCACGGTGACCTCCTCTTCCGCCCACTGCACCTGTGTGAACAAGACGTTTATAGCTCATAGGATTCCTCCAGTATGAATACGAAATTCTGGTTGTTGTTTTTTTGTGAGTCTCCAAGTAATCTCTATGCTTTTCTCTTTCACCTCATCGCCCTCCCCACTCTTATCATCTCTCTGTCCGCCTTTTCCTCACCATCTCACATTTCATCCCCTCTCTCATCCCCTGTGTATCATTGCCGTCCTCTCTCTCCATCTCTTCATATATCTCGCCTCTCTTTCTCTCTCCGTCTTCCCATTCTCCTCGATCTGTTCCCGCTTCTCTCCACTGTCCTCTCGACATTTCTCGACCTTACTTTCATTGTGCAATAATCTCCTCCGCTCTCCCCACCCCTCCTTGTCCCAAACGCTGAGCACGGTTGGCTACGTACGGTGCGAAAGAAGCTCAACGTACATAATGCACACAACGCCCGACGAAGTCTCTCTCTCCGTCTCTCTCCTCCCACTCTCTAAATCTCTCTGTGCGCTCTTCCCAGGCCCGCATCGTCGTCATCGTCGTCATCGTCGATTAATGAGCAAATCAACGTGACCGAGAGGTGAGAGACCTTAGCACGAGGTTGTGATGCGTGCATTCCCGGTGTCCCAATCTCAGTTAAATACGCAGTAGGCTTCAGCGACCAATATTACCCATAAGAAGGTTTTTTTTTAAACAAAAATGCGTCGTTAAATCCGCCACAACCTGACAGCCAATTAGTCAGGTTGGTCACAAATAACACGTGCCAATGACACACCTGTCAACCAATATGGTTTATCCGTATTCTTGTACAGGGAAATTGAGTTTTCAGGTCCGGCGTACAGCCGTTTCAATGCGGGAAACATTTTGTTTTGCCTGTTTGTTTGTGTTTCTCCCTTGTGATGGGACTTTGTAGGATGAACGTTGAGATTTATAAGGGGCACGAGGGTGACCAGTAAGGTCTGAATTGGTCTGAAATAAGGTAGGGCACCGATAAGGGGTTGACGGGTATGCAATTCGTTACTAGTTCAGCCCACCGGCGGTGTGTTAGGAGAGTCCATTTGCCATAGGTAGGTGCAGACGCCTCAATCAAAGTAAAGGCAAAAACATCCATAGCCAACTGCAAACCCTCGCGTCTTGCTCCGGCCACCGCCCCCCCCGCCCCCCCGCCCCCGTGCCAATGGCGAGAGAAAGCGTCGTGACCTGGCTGGGGTTTGGCATCGGTTGACTTCGGCCACGACGACCAACATCTGGATAGGCCAAGGGGGTCGGAGGAGGTCACTTTGTGTTCAGTGAAACACGCTAGCGCAGCCCCCACCCCTCCTCGCCACCCGCACACAATTCCATCGCAATGACCTCAACAGACGACAAGCTCCGATCCTACTCGTCCTGCCCTCTGCTACTGCCCTCGCAGTAGCAGTGACGCCTCTGTGAGTAGCAGCGGTAGCAGCTGCCGGCACCGCGTTCGACTGGTTAAGCGAGTTCCATTTAAAACTCCTGTACCCTCAGGGTTGGGTGGATGTCAGGAGGGGAGGGGTATGGGGTGGGAGGGAGGGAGGTGTTGTGGGGGCGGGGGGGGTGTAGGGGGAAGGGTGGTAGGGGGGGGGAGCGAGGGGGGGCCAGGGGGGGGGCCAGGGCGGGGTGTGTGGAGAGGGAAGTGGAGGGTGTGGATTTGCTTTCCAACACACCGGTGTTGCTGCACTCGTAACGAATTGGCCACGTTCTGTTTACGTGAAACCCCTTACTGATTGACTCTGTCGGGTGGTGACGGGCTTAACGACACATTTGTATATTTATGCGATCTCACCCAAAACACCTCTATTATTGATGGTCGCGCAAGCCTCCTACGCGTCAAGGGCGTGGGAGCCGGCTCCCACTCCCCGCACCTCCGGGAGATGAGCCACGGCTTCTGTGGTGCCGCGACCCGCCGCGTGTCACTGCCCACCGTCTCGAGTCTCTCGGCATTGCCCGCCACCGCCTTTGCGATCTTCCCGACGTGGAACGGCATCGAAGCGCTCTTCTGTCGGGCGAGAGGTTGCGCGCTCTCTCCACCTTCGGCACTTTTTGCGACGGCGTTCGCCTTCTTTCAAGACAACGGTGCAAACGTTTCTCACATAACCTGCGCATCGGTCCAGCCCGGAGTATGTGCACAAACTTGGGTACACCGTAGCGAGTCAACCGGCAGGTCGCGTAGGAACAGGGTAGAGCGTGGGCGCTTCCCACCACTTCCAAGAGTCGGCCCAATTCTCAAGAGCCCCCATCTGGTGGAGTCTCCTTCCGCCAGCGGTGCCGTGAGCGAGAGACATTGCAGGGCACAGCGGACGAGGGAGTCGGTGGCCAGCACCTGACCGCCTTTGCCTCCCGAGTGACGATGTTTTCACGCATCGCACGAGTTTACTCATTTCAGGCTGAGTCGACCGAGGGGGGGGGGATGGGGGGGATGAGGGGGCCCAGGACCTGTTCAGATAATCGTCGCTGGCGTTGGCCATGAGCGGGAATTGTTGTCATCTCCGATGAGCACGCTCGGCCACGTACGGTGTGCAAGAAAGTTCAACATGCACACGAACTCGGTTCGCCGGGCTCACGGCGCGCACCAAACCCGACACTGAGCCGCCGCTGCCCGCGAATTCGCAGCGCGTTTGCGGACTGACCCAACGACGATGCCCTCTGCGGCGACGCAGCGCGCGCCACACCCAAACGGGCTCCCCATAACCGAGGCTCACGAACACCTCGTCCGTCCAGTCAGACGAGTCGAGGCGCGACGCTTCGCGCGTGCGGTCCGTCTCACGCCCAGGAAGGGGACGGGTGGGGAGGGGGGGAATGAATGCGTCAAAATAAGACGCCGGCGCTCGAAGGAGACAACGCGTAATGGTAATAATATCCGTGCCGCTGTTGTTTCGGGCTTCAGTGAGCCGGGGCTCAGTGGAACGAATATGCACATTGTGTCGTATAAATATGAACGCGCGCGCGTGCGTGCATTGTGTTTTTGGACGGTGCTCACAATGTGTACTTGAGAACGGACAAAAATGTATTATCGTGGAAATTGCTCAGCCGCTGTGAATTGTTTACTCTGAAAACGAGTCTTCGAATTCACTGGGCCTCGAGACAAAGAAGCTAAAATATTCCTTCTGTCAGTCCTTTGAGCTAACAAAGGTTCAAGACAAGTTTTCAGGAGGGTCCTGCAATGGTTATGTTTGAGCAAATTCCGTTTTAAAGGGTGTTTTAGTGTTGGGTGGAAACTAAAGTATAGTACTTGTACTGGTCTGTCATCTTCTAGATTTAGTCTGAGTAGGGTGGAAACTAAGTGGAATTGAGACTCAAACTAGAGTCGGATTTAGTGGGATTGAGACTCAGAATAAAGTTGGATTGAGACTCAGACGAGAGTGGAATTGACACTAGGGTTAGGGTTCATTTCCCAGCACTGTACAGCCGAGTGCCAGAGTTGGTCCACATTGTTCCGGACACAGACAAGCCCTCTCTCTCTCCTGGAGGGGTTGCGGTTAACGATTTAGGCGTTTAGTTCTCAGAATCGCGACGGGTCCACGTTTCACAATGTTCCGATGTCACTTCATCGCGGCCGTTCGCGGGGCGAAAGTCTGGCCCAGACTCGGTAACTTATCGCCCTCTGGCGAAACTTCACAACCGCGCTCTCAACTGCAAGCCGTGCAAATTAATCCCGGATCACTCCAACTCCAATCCTTGGGGAACGAGCCACAAGTCCGTTCGCCTTCCAACATTTACCAGTCTTCTCTGTTCAAATGCAAAATTAAAGTTGTGTGTGTGTGTTTTTTTAAACATATCTCGCCCTTAACTGATATCTGTAATAATCAAGGACTCGCTTGGAAAGAGAGGTCCTTTAGTCTCAGTGGGTGACTGCTGTTAATTTACAGCGCTTTGACAATCCACTGCTGGATGACGGTGACCCCATGTGGTGTCGGACATGGGGGTCATTTGACCACGAACCGTTCGACCGTGCTGATCGGTGTGGGTTCGGTGGCGGGGTGGCGGGCAGGTCAATTGGATAGGCCAAGGGGGTCTGAATTAAATTCCTCATAGGTTATCTGTATTGAACAGGTCAAGGAATCTGTATTGAATAGATTAACGGTTGTCTATTGTACAGGTCAAGAGTTCCATATTGGAAAGGCCAATGGTTTTTGTATTGGATAAATTAAGGGTTCTGTCCCGGATGGGTGAGGGGTTCTGTATTGGGTGGCTCAAGGCTCGTCTGACGAGTCGAAGATTCTTCGTCGTTTCCAGCAGAATTTAATATGACGCGTGCACCAAAAACTGCCTCCGACCAACACAAATCTAAGGCACCGGGCTCGATTGTTTTTTTAAATTTATTCCAACCGAGTCGCCGATGACGAACTGAGAAACCGTCCTCGTCCCTCAGCCGGGCCACGCTGCCGTGGAACGTCGCTCGTTGACGACACGCGGTTTTTTTCTTCTCGTTCGCCAGGAAAGAGGTGTACAGCACCAAGTCTGAGCTGCAGGAGACCGTGTCCACCGACAGCAACAAGGAGAACCTCTGGTAGGGCCGTCCCTGGTCATCACCGAAGTGTGATCTTCCTCGCCTGCTATGCAGGAGGTCGTGGGTTCTATCCCGACCCCGACGATGCCCGTTGTATATTTGGAGTCCGTGTGATCTTTCTCGCCCTCCCCGTCGTGGTCGCATCGATCTTTCTCCAGTTCCTCCAGGTTTGCTCTCCACATTTAGAACTGAGCATTTAGAATATTTGGCTGTTGCTATAAATGCCTAGATGTGATGATTACATCAGCCACTTCAATGACCTATTATGTGTGGCCAGATCGCCTCTGAAAAAAGAGCACAGTGGGCTTTACCTGGTTAAATAAAATAGTTTTAGTTTTAAAAAATCCTAAAAATTAATCAGGACATTTGCTATTTGCGCCATTTCTCTTATCACAAAATGGCTATCATGAAGATGCTATGTTTCACACACAGGTATAGTCTGCTAGTAGGGGCAATGTTTCTATATGGTCTTTACCCGATTAACTATATTTGCAAGTATTTTTTTTATTTGGACTGTGATGCCAGCACACATGCTCAACTCATTATCGGATAATGTCAAGGGATCTTTAATTTTCACTGTGAGCCGCATGGCCCATACTATTTTTTTAATGCGTCAACAGTATTAACCTGGGCGGCAGCTGGGCTTGAACCAGTGAGTGAATGAATGAACGTGTGAATTAATTAGTTGATCAATACATTTGTGAGATGACGAATGAATGAGTGTGTGACTGAATTAACGAATGCGTGAATCAATAAAAGAGTGAATGAGTGAATTGATGAATGAGTGAATCGATGAATGAGTGGATCATTCACCGCTGTGCCCTGCGTCTCGTCCTGGCAGGGAGAATGCATGGCGCCGGTGCTCGCGATGCAACCACGCGCTTGGCAAGAGAGCCAACTCCTACATCCTGGACTACCTGGGCCTCTACTACCACGAGGCCTGCTTCAAGGTATCTCCACCTAGCCTGGCACGGCCACGCCAGACGGGCCAGGGGTGTCACAGCCTCCAGGAAACGTGCATCAACCCTTCGTCTCCTTCACCACCTCCTCACCAGGCCCTCGCCTGCACCGAGTTGGCCCCAATAGGGGCTCGCTAACAGCAGTTGCCCCATCTCTAATTTAAAGGCTACACGGGGGATCGTCGTCTGGCAGACTATACCCATGTGTGGAAGATAGCGCCCTCATGATTGCCATTGTGCTAAGAGAATCAAGCGAATGTCAAGTGTAGCGATTATTACGATGATCACGGACGGCACTAGCAGTCGACACGGTCTCCTCCAGCTAAGACTTGTTGCTGTATATCTCTTTCCGGGTGAACGAGAGGAAACACACGTTGTCAGCTAACGACGTTCCACAGCAGCGTGGCCCAGCTGAGGGATGGGGAAAATTAGACGGTTATGGGCGCCACAGTGGCGAGATGTTAACTCCCTCGCCTGGTGTACAGGAGGTCATAATTTCGTTATTGACCCTGACGATGCCTGCATATTTGGAGCTTGCATGTCCTCCCCGTGGGCGTGTGGATTTATCTCCGGGTCCTCCAGTTTTTACCTCCACATTTAGAATCAACATGCGTTTGGAGTATTTGGATGCTATACATTTCCACGTGATAAGACACTTTGTTGAACGACCATTTGTGGCCGGGTCGCTTCTGAAGTAGAGCTATATAGCTCAGTGGGCCTCACTTGGTAAAATAAACAAAGTTTAGTTTTAGTTTGTTGTCCTTCCCCCCGCATACTCCGGTCAGCATGGTTGGCTACGTATGTTCTGAAAAGAAGTTGAACATGCATACATACGAGTCACCCGGTGACTCGGCAGTTCATGGCGAACGCGTCATCTGAATATCTGCATGGAAATGACGAAGGACACCCGGCGTGCGTGTGTGCAGTGCGACGGCTGTGACGCGGACCTGGGCCACATGGGCGGCGGGGGCACGCTGCACATCGTGGCCAAGCACGTCAACTGCGACACGTGCTACCAGAAGAGCCTGCGCTCCGGCTCAGGTGCGGCAACGCCACGGGGACTTGCGCTGCGCCGCCGCCATCTCGATTTAGCCTATGAGTTAGGGCGAGACTTAGAGTGTGGATTGAGACTCAATCTTAGAGTGGGATTGAGTGGGATTGAGACTCAGAATAACGTCGGATCGAGGCTCGGAATGGAGTGAAATTTAGACGAGAAGTGGAATGAGACTAGAAGTGGGATTTAGACTCAGGCGAGAGTGAAATGTAGACGAGAGTGGGATTGGGGGTGCCACGGTAGTAAGATGTTAACTACCTCGCCTGGTACGTAGAAGATTGTGGGTTCGATCCCTATCCTGGCACCTGTGTATTTGGAGTTTGCATGTCTCTCTCCCCGTGGTTGTGTGAGTTTTTCTCTGGGTCCTCCAGTTTTATTCCTCCACATTTAGACACAATATGCATTTAGAGTATTTGGCTGCTATAAATGTTCACATGATGAAAAGCCACTTTGTTGAGCTTTCGTTTGTGGCCAGGTCGCTTTTTAAAACGAGTTAAAAGCTCAGTGCGCTTTACCTGGCAAAATAAAAAAACAGCTTTAAGTTTAAATTTTGATTTAAAGCTTTCGTGACTGCAGGGATTCATATTCTTGGTTCTTTCGGTAAAGTCACGTAGAAGGCAAACAATAAAATAAAAATATAAAACAATACAATTGTCACGACGTTTCGACTGCAGCACAAGCAATCATCATCAGGTGTGAAAACCATAGCAAGAAAATTTGAAAAAAGTGGCGTTTTTTTCTTAACGTTAGTAAATAATTGTATTGTTTTATATTTGTATTATTTTATTGTTTCCCTTCTACGTGACTTTACCGAAGGAACCAAGAATATATATAGCTTTTAGTTTAGTTTTACATCTGTTGGGAGTGCCAAGCCAGCACCGCCGTGATGCTGGGCTTGAAATATGGGTTTCATCCGCCCCGTGATTAAACCGGGTTGTATAAGTAATATTATAATCTCTGAATGGGATAAATATGATCTTCATGTAATGGGGTTTTGTGAAGAAAGCGATTGATACCGGTGCAACCCACCCCTGACTAAACCCGGTACTCCGAGGGCACACTTTAATAGGCTAACGTTTAAGGCAATGAGCCTTTTTGAGAGAGACGTGCGGAAATGGAGTAATGACCGCTGCGTGTCCTGTGTCTCCTTTCAGGGCGCTAGTGGCCTCAAGGGTGGTGGCGGCGGCTGGGGTGTCGAAGTGTAGAACGAACGTGACTGGAAACACCCCCCCCCACATCCTCCCCCCTCCCACCTACCCCACAAAAGCAGAGAAGAAGCAAACTTCAATCCCAACCCACAGCACACGCAGCTACCCAGACAAGCTGGACACCAACACACCACACACACAGCAGCAGCAAAGCAGAGCCTCACAACAACCGCTATAGCCACGTCCAGGCTTTAATTTCTCACTCATTATTGTCCAGGTCGCCGATAGACCGGAGTGGATGGTATGTGACTAGTAAGTAGCAAGTAATAATAATAATAATAAGCACGTATGGTACCCGCGCCATTCTCATAGCACAAGGCTATCTCGAAGGCGCTGTGCTTGACAGACGAGTATGGTCTGTCGCGAGAAGGCAATATCGCCGTGTGGTTTTTACCCAATTTAGGTAATTTGCGGATGCTTTTTCAAATTTGGCAAATTTGGGCACGCATGTCCTGCTCTTTTCGAATAACGCCATAGGTTCCATAAGGGCCCACTGTGAAACAGATGGCTCGTAGTTTTGGTTAATACGCTCGCAGTATTAACCAGGGCAGCTGCCAGGCTCCTTAATACTGGATGTGTTGCGCCGGATGCAAGCAATGTTCTCCTGGTCACCGACCCGGCCGCGACAATGAAGCCCTTGTCTACGTTACACAAGTTAACACAGGCCCGCAGCATGAAAAGTATTCACACCGCTCTGCATTATGGGACAAACTATAGAATGTGTTCTTGTTTATTTTTTGTAACAAACGAATCTATATCCCATTAATGAGCTAAGTTTTTCACGACTGGGGTTGTTTTTCGTGTCAGTATGGTTGTGGGTAGCGACGTAATATTTGCTTTAATGCTTTTTAAGGATTGAGCAGGTCTTGGTGTTGACACGGGACAAATGGCAGCACTTAATTGCATTCTTAATTATGTTAGTTAGCACGTTGCCTCAGCGCGGAACACAATTTACTCTTAAATAAAGACACTACCGGCCAGCTGTCTGCTGCGTAGGTTTTCGCACCCGTGCCGTACGGCCCTCTGACGTGTGTTTTCTGGGCTGCGCCGCTCACGCGTTCGGCACGTTGATGCCCGACGTTTCCCTTGCGGCTGCTCGGAGCATTTTCCAGCACGCGGAGCAAAACGGCGGACATCGAAGGAGCACGTCGGAGAGCCAGGTTCCTGCGAGTGCTTCTCTTAAAGCCCAAGCAACAAGGTCACTCTCTGGGTCTCGTCGGCAGGATTCGGCCCGTTAAACAAACGCCTCTGGATCGCCTGCTGTTATAGACGATAGCATTTTACCAACACTGTGGGGACCGTTAAGCACAGCCGGATGAGGGCCTCCCGACACCGGTTCTCCGGAGGGGGGGGGGGGGGGGGGGGGGTTTATTTGACCGCACTTTACCGCGCAGATTTGGTGATCCCCAAAACCTCTAACAACCTGTTATGTGTCATGGGCACCCATCCAAGTGCTCTGGTTGCGGGTAATTAAATAGCGAATATACATGGGAATATCGGTTTCATAAATATGACAGTGGACAGTGACTTGTCTCTGTGGAGGTGAACTGTCATTTGCAATACTACACTCACACCCTAGGCAGGATTTGATCTTGTCACTTTAAGGTCAGGAGCCAGCTGCCTATCAAAAAAGCCACATTATCCAATGCAATGCTCTTGTGAATAAATAAGTCCAATAGACGTTTTTCGGGAATATTTATCGTATTTGCACAGCATATTATACCGGGTTGTTTACGCGGTTTGTGTGAGTTGTCTTTCTTACGTTGCGATCACACCTGCCTAGTAAGCTGATACATTTTTTTTCCAATCACTTGTCCTAAAAGATTCTGTGACGATAGTGTCTCAAGCACCCACATTTCTAAACATTGGCCTCACCATCGCCGTCAACCATTGTTTATCCACTCCTGGATGAAGACCTATCCACACTGTCGTCATCCGTCAAATCTTAAAACGCCACAATCCAACTCACTCTCGCACGTGACCTGTGATCTCATTGTTCCATCTCCATGCTGGTCATCCTCTCGGGCACGTGATCCCGTTTTGTTTCTCTCGCTCTCTCAATCCATCAGCAGTTAAGTCGATTAACCGTCATCCATTCTGGCCACGATGTGTCCTGCCCAGGGCCATTTTGCTTTCCTTAAAAGTCAATGTCTCGAATGTGTGTTCTATGCTACATGTGTTCCTGTCCGTCTCTCTCAGTGTAGTAGTGTAGTCCAATTCATGCACTTTTTCATCCTTCTTTATACACTTTTCAGGCTTTGTTCCATTTTATTTCTTCACGATTCCAATTCAGATATCATCGTGGGTAATTTGCACTGATTTAAGCCCATTCTAGTTCGGGTAAATTTGTACACTAATATTCATTATCAAGCTCGGCATTCCAAAATAACTCTCATGAATTCCAGAGACCCATCAAGGCTATCGCCCTGCGTCGTACTGGCAGAGGTTACGCAAAATGTATGGACAGCGAAGATGAATGCAGATTACGTTGACAGGGGTGATTGCTGCGTAAACCTATGGAAGGGAAATAGGTTGAACGTGGTGTTTGGTTGGTCACGTTATACGTGGGATTAACAGATAATAGCTTTGACTAAAGGGTTACAAGCTACAGAACTTTGGACACTAGTAATTGCTCCGGCGTAGTATTGTTTGTTAGGATTTCAAGTCCTCTATTTGTACTGCATTTGCATGTTTTATGGTTTGAAAATAAACATTTAGCCACGGTTTGTGCGAGCTTGTGGCGCTGACTAATTGCAATCAGCAAAACACGTATGTTGCAGAAATAAGGAAACGCCTGTGGGTCGCTAATAATGATCTTGTGAAAGGAAAATAGATCCAGTGGAAAGGGACTTCTTCATAGCACATGGGACTTCTTCATAGCACATGGAACTTCGTCATATCCCATGGGACTTCTTCATAGCACATGAGACTTCTTCATAGCACATGGGACTTCTTCATAGCACATGAGACTTCTTCATAGCACATGGGACTTCTTCATAGAACATGAGACTTCTTCATAGCACGTGGGATTCTTCGTATCCCAAGAGACTTCCTCATAGCACATGGGACTTCTTCATAGCACATGGGACTTCGTCATATCCCATGGGACTTCTTCATAGCACATGGGACTTCTTCATAGCACATGGGACTTCTTCATAGCACATGGGACTTCTTCATAGCACATGGGACTTCTTCATAGCACATGGGACTTCTTCATAGAACAAGAGACTTCTTCATAGCACATGGGACTTCTTCATAGCACATGGGACTTCTTCATATCCCATGGGACTTCTTCATAGCACATGGGACTTCTTCATAGCACATGGGACTTCGTCATATCCCATGGGACTTCTTCATAGAACAAGAGACTTCTTCATAGCACATGGGACTTCTTCATAGCACATGGGACTTCTTCATAGAACAAGAGACTTCTTCATAGCACATGGGACTTCTTCATAGCACATGGGGCTTCTTCATATCCCATGGGACTTCTTCATAGCACATGGGACTTCTTCATATCCCATGAGACTTCTTCATAGCACATGGGACTTCTTCATAATAGTGCTTTAAAGAAGGGCCAGAGCAGTGCGATTGTACCCATTCATCCCAAACTATGCACCGTATTGTAAACCAATACAATCAACGCTCCTTCAACGAAGGAGGAGGAGGAATAACAAAACTACACAAACTCTCTCCTCAAGCTCTCTCGCCATGGCTGCAAGTCCTCGACTTTGGCATTTTCTGCCATCGCGCGCATAGAAAATAGAAAGCATGCTGATGTGGTGGTGGGGTGGGGGCATGCAGATTCGTGGTCTCAAACAGTATCGATTTAAAACTTTAGAATATTGATTGGCGTGCTCAAGAGGACCCCACACAGAGCCCGCTGCTGGACTCTGGTCGCAATGCAATGCACTGAAAAAATAAATCATTTTCAAAGAAAACGAATATTATTGTTATCGGAGCGAGTTTTTTGCGTGTTCACCACAAGTACCGTGTGTGGTACCTTGATTCCTTGTAAAAGGTTTCTCTTTGGCGTTTGAACATCTTATCAAGGCCGTAATTATAATATATTGGGGGGGGGCGACGACGACACCCCCCCCAATATTCAAATATGCTGAAAATGTCCCCCCCCCCAATATATTGCCATAAAAAATAATTGCTATGCTATGTAAATAAAAACAACAATTTTCTAAACGTTGGCCACAATATCTGGACTTGTCTTCATATAAACCAATGCATAGATTTCTGTTTATATGATTGTGGTTATGGTTGTACTTTATTAATCCCTAATCTCTGCCATTGCATACAATGAAACAAGAAATGGTAAAAACGTAAAAACAGAGCAATATAATACAATACACTATTCGACATTATTGTAAAAATAATAATAAAAAGTCCATCCCATGTGTTAGTGAATTTTTTAATATTTAGGCAGGAAATGAGTTTTCAAATTTAGATATTTTTCTAGGTTGGAACCCCCAGATACCCTGGAAGATTTGGTCCCCTCCCCAATGTTGACTCCATGGCTACGGCCTTGCATCTTATATTTTTTTACCCGAGAAAAGGGGTAAAAAAAACCTATTCTCATTTTTTTTGAACAATTCAATGCACCGTGTTCATTATTTTACATTTGACATTTGCGCGGCGTTGTACGGCGCGCCCGAGTGGCTGCAGATTCAGACTAGAGTGGAATTCAAACAAGAGTGGAATTGACACCAGAGTGAGATTGGGATTCAGAATAGAGTGAAATTTAGACGAGAGTGGGATTCGACTCAGATTAGGGTTCATTTCCCAGCACTGTACAGCCGAGTGCCAGAGTTGGTCCACATTGTTCCAGACACAGACAAGCCCTCTCTCTCTCCTGGAGGGGGTGCGGTTAACGATTTAGGCGTTTAGTTCTCAAAATCTTGACGGGTACACGTTTCACAATGTTCCGATGTCACTTCATCGTGGCCGTTCGCGGGGCGAAAGTCTGGCCCAGACTCGGTAACTTATCGCCCTCTGGCTAAACCTCACAATCGTGCTCTCAAATGCAAGCCGTGCAAATTAATCCCGGATCACTCCAACTCCAATCCTTGGGGAACGAGCCACAAGTCCGTTCGCCTTCCAACATTTACCAGTCTTCTCTGTTCAAATGCAAAATTAAAGTTGCGTGTGTGTGTTTTTTAAACGTCTCTCGCCCTTAACTGATATCTGTAATAATCAAGGACTCGCTTGGAAAGAGAGGTCCTTTAGTCTCGGTGGGTGACTGCTGTTAATTTACAGCGCTTTGACAATCCACTGCTGGATGATGGTGACCCCATGAGGTGTCGGACATGGGGGTCATTTGACCACGAACCGTTCGACCGTGCTGATCGGTGTGGGTTCGGTGGCGGGGTGGCGGGCAGGTCAATTGGACAGGCCAAGGGGGTGTGAATTAAATTTCTCATAGGTTCTCTGTATTGAACAGGTCAAGGAATCTGTATTGAATAGATTAACGGTTGTCTATTGTACAGGTCAAGAGTTCCATATTGGAAAGGCCAATGGTTTTTGTATTGGATAAATTAAGGGTTCTGTCCCGGATGGGCGAGGGGTTCTGTATTGGGTGGCTCAAGGCTCGTCTGACGAGTCGAAGATTCTTCGTCGTTTCCAGCAGAATTTAATAGGACGCGTGCACCAAAAACTGCCTCCGACCAACACAAATCTAAGGCACCGGGCTCGATTGTTTTTTTTATTAATTCCAACCGAGTCGCCGATGACGAACTGAGAAACCGTCCTCGTCCCTCAGCAGGGCCACGCTGCCGTGGAACGTCGCTCGTTGACGACACGCGGTTTTTTTCTTCTCGTTCGCCAGGAAAGAGGTGTACAGCACCAAGTCTGAGCTGCAGGAGACCGTGTTCACCGACAGCAACAAGGAGAACCTCTGGTAGGGCCGTCCCTGATCATCACCGAAGTGTGATCTTCCTCGCCTGCTATGCAGGAGGTCGTGGGTTCTATCCCGACCCCGACGATGCCCGTTGTATATTTGGAGTCCGTGTGATCTTTCTCGCTCTCCCCGTCGTGGTCGCATCGATCTTTCTCCAGTTCCTCCAGGTTTTCTCTCCACATTTAGAACCGTGCATTTAGAATTTTTGGCTGTTGCTATAAATGCCTAGATGATTACATCAGCCACTTCAATGACCTATCATGTGTGGCCAGATCGCCTCTGAAAAAAGAGCACAGTGGGCTTTTCCTGGTTAAATAAAATAGTTTTAGTTTTTAAAAATCATAAAAATTATTCAGTACATTTGCTATTTGCGCCATTTCTCTTATCACAATGGCTATCATGTTCACCTCCTCTACACCGTTCATCATGCTAAGTCCGCCAATTAAATGCTATTTTATATGCCAATTCCTTTGTCAAGGCACCTTAATTCCTCTCACACAATCTTAAAGGTCGCGGTCTGAGCTTAGCTGTGTTCACTCCAGCGCTGTCCTCGAGACAGTCTGGTCCCTTCACCTGATGAAGGCCACTTGTGTTGTGGCCGACACGTCGTGAATTTTTTATTTGTTTATTTTTATTTCTTGTTGTTTTATACTTTTACGTGACTTTACCGAATAGAACCAAAGAGTATCATGAAGGTGCTATGTTTCACACACGTATAGTCTGCTAGTAGGGGCAATCTTTATATATGGTCTTTACCCGATTAACTATATTTGCAAGTTATGTTTTTTATTTGGACTGTGATGCCAGCACACATGCTGGCATCGCGACCAGAGCCAAGCAGCGGGCTCTGTGCGGGGTCCTCTTGAGCACGCCAATCAATATTCTAAAGTTTTAAATCGATACTGTTTGAGACCACGAATCTGCATGCCCCCACCCCACCACCACAGCAGCATGCTTTCTATTTTCTATGCGCGCGATGGCAGAAAATGCCAAAGTCGAGGACTTGCAGCCATGGCGAGAGGGCTTGAGGAGAGCGTTTGTGTAGTTTTGTTATTCCTCCTCCTCCTTCGTTGAAGGAGCGTTGACTGTATTGGTTTACAATACGGTGCGGCGTTGTACGTCGCGCCCGAGTGGCTGCAGGGATCCTGGCGAAGCGGTGATGTTTAACGTTTGTTGCATGTGCAGCGCCGTTGTCAATTGGCTGCTGGATTAATGAAGTCGTCCTTCCCACGCCCTGCGGGTTGCGAGAGCTGTTGAACCACGACCCTCAACTGCGCTTGTCAGCGTTGGCTCGGTGAAGCAGATCGGACAGGAAAAGTCCCAGTTATGGCTCATCACTGTGATCTTCTCGCATTGGCTGGCAATCGAATTCAGGCCGCAGTGTGTTTGTAATGCAGTGTGTTTGTAATTCAGTGTATTTGTAATTCAGTGTGTTTGTAATTCAGTGTGTTTGTAATTCAGTGTGTTTGTAATTCAGTGTGTTTGTAATTCAGTGTGTTTGTAATTCAGTGTGCTAAAACCACGGACCCCCCCACCCAGTAGATCAATCAATCCATCGTTGTTGTATGTGTCAATATCGCCCTCAATGTGTGTATGTCGAACTTCTTTCGCACCGTGCGTAGCCAACCGTGCTAATCGGAGGTGCGGGGAAAGACAACAAACTACACTCAAAAAGCAGTTAAACAAAACAGGCATCGGTGCACATTAAAACGGAACTGGAACGGTACAGGGGCATACAGCCAACGTACATGAAAGTAAAAATAAGGAATCTCCAATGCAGTATATGATTAACAGCCTGGCTTTCCAATACAAACCAATAAT